AATAAAGCAGTAAATTACAACTTTGGAACATGAAGCCCATAATAAAAGCAGTAAATTACAACTTCGGAACATGAAGCCCTTAATAAAAGCAGTAAATTACAACTTCGGAACATGAAGCCCTTTTACAGAGTTTTACAAAATGACATCAGTAAAATAAAACTAAGAATTAAAGATCACTCAGAATCATCAGATGGAGGACCAAATGCCAGCTGCAACTGGAGCTTCCTGATCTTCTCTTCATAAAAATCTTCCATCTCTTTCTTCTCAGCTACCAGTCAATCAATGATTTCCTTTTGTGGATTAGGAACAAGAGCAACGCTTACCGAACCTTCCTTCTTTCTCTTCCTTTCACTAGCATACTTCTTCAGTAAAGCATCCTTTTGACGAAGCTTATCATCATGATCAATGAACCAGCCGTCTTGAATAAATAGCAAATCCTCCTTTTCCTTTAGTTGTCGAGCCAGGACCCGATTCTCATATTCAGACATATTATACTTTTCTTTCCAAGCATCTCTCTCGGACTTCATCCTAGCCAGATTTCCTTAGTATTCTCCCATATTCTCGATAGGGATATCAACAGATGATGATGTAACAGTAGGGAATAAAGGTTTCTCAGGTTTATAGGGCATCTTGAGAGCACAAGCCCTAGCACGGACCCATTGTAGGTAAGGCTCCAAAGAAACGGTACCCCTATGTCCTAACATATCTCTCCCTTTCCTATGGATGTGGCGCCAAGCTCCTTCGATCTCCATCTTAGCTGCCTGGTGATCTTGTCCTTCTTGTAAAAAGAAACCACTCACATGGATGTTGTTTGGCTTGTCCCTCATCGGGTATCCAAACTGACGGCGCGCGAGAACATGGTTATAGTTAATTCCACCTTTCGTACCAAGAAGAGGCACGTTAGGAAAAGCACCACAACTATCGATGATCTTCACGTCATAGTAAGCTCGATTATACCAATCAATGTCGAAATGAGTGAGAGCCATAATTTTTGGCGCCCATCGCGGCTCCTTCTCGAGATCCCAGAAAACATCAGACCTAGGTAGATGAGAAACATACCACTGATACAGCAACGACGCACAACAAAAAATCATCCCTCCTTGATAAGAGTTTAGAAGATGGATGGAGTAGTAGGTATCTCCTAGCAGCGTAGGGACCGGATTTCCAATCAAGAAAATTCTGATGGCGTTGATATCCACAAACTTATCAACGTTAGGGAACAAGAATAGACCATAAGCAAGTAAAGCAAAGACGTCTTCAAAGGCAATAGTATCTTTTATCTCAGCAAAATGACGAGCTTTCCTCCACAAAAATTGCGCAGACAAGCCTCGGATTCCCCCTTTTGTAGTCATGTTCTCCTCTATCTCTGAATTCTTCAAGTGGGTGATGGTCGCTATCTCGTGAGATTTGGGTTCCTCTTCTAATCCAGAAAAAGGAACACAGTCGGTGATCGGCAAACCAAGTATGTAGGAGTACTCTTCTAAGGTGGGCATTAACTGGTAATCCGGAAAGGTGAAACATCGGTACAAAGGATCGTAAAATTGGACTAACGTACTAAGGATGCCTTCTTTCATCTTGCGCTTCATGGGAGGTATAATGGACCAATACTTTTTCTGAAAATTCGTCGGGTTCTTGATCTTAGGAATTAAACTCTTCAGTTCTTCAATCTCGGGCTCCTTAAAACTAAAACTTCGAGTGTTTCTCCTTCCAAATTCCATAATAATAGTACCTGAGATGTCTGCAAGAATCATTCTTAAATTCCTTGAAAAACAAGTTTTTTACAAAAATGTTTATGGATGTATGGATGAATGATAATGCAACAGTTACACACAAGTTCACAAACATTGGGTTCAAAGGTTCAACGTTTCGAGCATGGAGTCAAGGGTAAAGCCCACCCCAAGGTATGTACTAACGGTTCAATCACACCTGTAAGACAAGGTTCTAAGAGTTCCCAGAGTCTACATTCCTCCTTCGGATATTGCCAACGTCTTGATTACTCAATAATTAGCAATATTCTCAAGAGAAACTCGTCCGAGCGTAGCATCGCGTAACAACTACTTTCGAATTACTCTGTTATAGTCTCCGCGCTACACCTAAAAGGCCAAGATGGATTAGGGTTCTACGGTTCTCAATTTCTCTGGCTCCCAGGTCGAAAATAATAATGTCTTCCCGATTACTCGGTAAACAAATATTGTGTTCAAAAGGGCCTTCCATTGAGTGGGGGATCTCATGCCTCCTTCTTCGGGATTACTCCCTCAAAGTTAACATGACTATACCGCCCATCCTATTCTTAATTGTAACTTAATCCGGGTATAGGATTCGTCCTTTTTTGCAAAAAACCCAAACAACCCCAATTTAAACGCATAATCAAACAAAACAAATAATAATAAAACAGATAAAACAAACTAGGCTTAACCCACTTAGGGATGGACCAGCAAGAGGTCAATCTTTCCCCAGCAGAGTCGCCAATTCTGTAGCGATAAAAAATGTAGCGGGGTAAATCGGAGATCGAATTATTAATTAATTCGTCTCACAAAAAGCAAGAGTCGCCACCGCACTTTATTATTTCCAAGGGAAAAGGGAAAAGAGCGAAATAAAACCCTAAAGTATGCAATGTAAAATAATACTTTCTAAAAGTAATAAAAATACAAGGCGTTTTTGAAAAGAGGTCTATGGTTCGGGGGTTGGTTATACAATGGGAAGGTATTAACACCCAATGTATCTATAGTATTCTATAGGAACCTTTTGAAATATCTGTTTATTAAAATTGTTTGTTTGATTAAAAATAAATTGTTTTGGCCGAAAATGGGTATGGACGAGTTTTTGAAGATACGAAGACCTAATGTCGAAGTTTTGACTTAAAAGGTGTGAGTTTTTGAAGAAATTGGATATTTGGGAAAATTATCCTATGTTTTTAATGAATGAAGGGTATTCGCACGATGTTTTTTTGATGACATAAAGTCGACAAAAAATTAGACAATTCCCTTGGATTAAATCGAGCAAGTAAAATAAGATGAATCCACAAAGTATAAGCATTCAAAAATTCACAAGAAAACGAATCTAATGAAACAGATTAATGACCAAAAGCATCGAGAAATTAAAATGACAAAGACATTTAAATAGAAGAAAAGGGAACTAATTATCTAAGTCAAAATTATAAGATTACTTACTAAAATAATTCTAAACTAATTTGTTATCTAAAGTTATAAAAATAATTCTAAAATTGCTACGCTAGATCTAAACTAAATTAAAATTTTAATATTAGAAAATTAGATCTAAACTAAATAAAAATTCCAAGGTTGCTAATCTAAAACAAAAAAAAAGTTCCAAAGTTACTAAACTAAATCTAAATCAAATAAAATTCTAAAAGAATATTAAACTAATTCTAAACAACTAAAATTCTAAAGTTAACTTAAATAAAATAAAATTCTAAAGTTTACTAAATTAAAACTAAAACAAATAAAATTCTAAAATTTACTAAGTCAAATCTAAATGAAATAAAACCCTAAAGTTACTAAAACTAAAACAAAATAAAATTCTAAAGTTTACTAAGTCAAAACTAAAACAAATAAAATCCTAAAGTTACTAAAATAAATCTAAAACAAAATAAAATTCTAAAATTTACTAAGTCAAATCTAAATAAAATAAAATCCTAAAGTTACTAAAATAAAACTAAAACAAAATAAAATTCTAAAGTTTACTAAGTAAACTAAACTTAAATTCTAAAGTTTCTAACTAAACTAAACAAGATTTTACAGTTAATAACTAAAACTAAATTAAAATTATAAAATTACTAACTTAAAATTCTAAAGTTTACTAACTAAATAAAAATTAAAATTATTACAATAATTCTAAATTTAAACTAATTAGCTCTAATTGAAAAAGGAAACTTTTTGTAATTTATATATGATTAAACTAATCAACCTAATATTAAATCTAACAACTATATATTTTTAAAGTTACTAGGTTAAATCTAAAATAAAATTTTAAAGTTAGTAGATTAGAACTAAATCAAATAAAAGAGTAAAGGGGTAATGTTAAAACAGAAAAAAAAGGGAGTGGTATCAATAAGTCTTAAATGGGCCTGCTGGTTGGAATAAGGCCCAAGGCATGGAAAAACAAAACAAACTAAAAAAAAAAAAGACTTTAATGGGCCAGACCGAGTTAGGCCTGGACCCGGTTTCCATCTAGAAGGGGAATGAAGGGTTTTGGAAACCCTAGTTGAAAGGTGCGCCGCTGGACGTTTGAGAAGAGGAAAAGTTATAATTATTTTTCTTTAATCCCTAATTAAAAACTTATTAACCAATTTATTATTCCCAAAATTCTCTCTCTCTCTCTCTCTCATAGCTTCAACGATCGTTGCTTCCACCCTTTTTATTCCCAAAAATATCTCATCGTCTCTCTTCTGTTCATTCCGTGAAATAAAACAACAACGGAAATCTCGTCTTTCTCTCATCAGCGGAAACGCTCAGCACTTCAATTCTCAGCCTCAGTACCATAAACAACAAAAACAATGGCAAATCTCTCTCGCATTTCATCCTGGTACGAATCTCGAACGCTCAAATCTCAATCTCTCATGGCTTTATCCTTTCAGAACAACAAAACTCATACCTCGCACAAATTAAAACAAACAGAGCCCAAATCTAAAGGAGGATGTTTGAGAAAGATTGCAGGTATTGAAGATGCGGGGAAACAGAGGGATCGTTTAAATTGTTGGGTTATAGTTGTTGTTCATGAGGTGATGAAGGGTTGGACGGAAATGGTGGTGGTGAATTGAAGGGGTTAATGTGAAGGTGGGTTTTGCAAAGGGTTAAGGGTTTTCAATTTCAGGTACAAGGTTTTTCTAATCTCAGCATCTTTCTTCTTCTACTCCATTTTCCCTATGATTTTGAATGTTTTGTTGATGTTTGTAGAGATGAACTATGAATGTTGGCTTAGGATGATATGATAACAGAGGAGGGAGGTCGAATATCACAGTGGTTGCGCTGGTTTGGAAGAGCATGTGGAGGGGTTTGTTGTTCGTAGCAGAACAGAGGGAGAGTAAAGTAAAGTTCAAGGATGATGATTTTTTAGAGGGTTACGGAATTGTGCAGAGATTTGGTGTTTGAAATATACAGGGTGTATCGAAGATCTAATTGACTGAAAAATGGCGAGGTACTTTTCTATTTTTCCTACTGATCTCTCTCTTCTTGTCTATGATCCCCAATATCAGTATGTTTATTTTTCTGCTTATTGGCCTCTATTTTTATAGGTTTATAGATTTGTGAAAAAGTATTGAAGTTTGCTTGAACTCATTTTGATCGATTTCACAGGTAACAGATGATGCAACCTGCCCTCTCATCTATCGATCTTATTATCTTTCTTACGGAAACAGCGACAACACTCAAGCTCTCAGTTCACTCACCCATCAGTAAATGATTTGTAACCCTTATCTACTTCTCTGTACTTTGGTTCAAATACTAACATTTTTTGTTCAGTTATTTTGTAGGAGCAAACTATTTTAAAGATGGTACAACTCAAGAAGAACAATTAAACATCAGAGTAATAAGGCTTCAGATATTATAAGGAACGAATATGCAAAAAAGTGTCAAAAACAGAGGCAGAGTGACTTACCTCAAGGTTGACTCAGATATGAAATAGAAAAACCAAAGGTAATAAGCTTTTCCTTGGTCCCTTTTTATTTATTGATTGCAAGGCTGCATTAGTGCTGTTGTAATGCTTGTGGTCTGTCTGAAGGATCGGTGGGTTGAAGGAAGCAGAGGGAGATGAATGAGAGGAAGATGAAGGGATTAAAGAAGCTGAAAGAAAATATCAGTTGCTTCACTTGAGTAAGCTCTTTTCTGGTTCTTTTGGTTTTCTTGATTAAAAAAATATATCTCTTTGTTCCTCTCTGATTTTCTCTCGAAAAAAAAAAGTCCCCTTCTACTGTGATCAAGTTCTAAATTATATAGTAACAAGATCAAAAAAATGAATCCATTAAGAGCAATTATGTTCTATGCTTTTTGGATGTAAGAATGTTTAACAATTTTTGTGAAATCTGGCCTAGCTTGACAGGTTTTTGGCATCTTGCAGCAGGGTTGATTTGGACCTCAAAGATAGGGACAAAGAAAGATTTCAGAGCAGCAAATAGCAGTAGTTTGGACTTGTGTGGACAATAATAACATAGCATAGGAGTTTTTTGGAGTGTAGCAAACTGTTTTCCATATTCCAATTGTAATTCCCGTTTTTTATTATTTTGGCCATTTTAATAGGTACTTTGCTAGCAGGCAGCACAACAGTACATCCTTAATTTCCTGTTAATTTTGTAATCCCTTAAATAAAACAAATTTCATTTATTCAACAAAACTCTATTCTTCTTATTGAAATTCAAATCTCAAACTTCTTTGGATGTGTGCATGGTTTTCTTTGAATTTGGACAACATTATGAATTTTGAAGTTTTGGTAACAGCAACAATAGCAGGGTATTTGTTACACAAAAATGGAAAGGATCAAAAAGCAAATGAAAAAGAGAGTTTGTGATGAATGTAATTTGGTTTTTGAGTTTGAAATTGAATTTAGGAAAATCGATATATTGTACGTGTGAAGTGGTGTTGTGGTTCCAAACTTGCATTTCCATATTTTTTACAAGAGAAAAAAAAACGTAGTAGTTATAGTAACAAATAAAAAAGAAAAAAAAATGTTGATAATAAAAAAAAGAATTAAGATATAAATGACAACTATTAATAAAAATTAAAATATGCAGTATTAAATGATGAAAATGGATGAAATTATCATTAACTTCTTTTTTTTTTAATTAAGATGAGATAATAATAAAGGTGTAAATCTAAATGATATTTTTTTAATATTTTTGAATTAAAATGAAAATAAAAATTACAATGACATGAAATAAATATTTTTAGGATTTTTATGAAATAAAATTAATGATGATTAAAGACAAAAAAATGCAATATGCATGATTTTGTAAAAATCGGGTAACACGGTTGAAATTAAGTGCAATTCACTAAATTCACAAAGTGACTTCTAACGTTTTTAATTTTTTTTGTGGCTCTTCAAACAATAATCATCTCTTGACTTCTAAAGGAAAGTTGTAGTTGTTGTCAAGGAGAATCATGTGTAAAAGAACCACTAAAAAAATGTCGAAATTCGAAGAAGTTATGAATTTTTGAAATCTGACTCGAGAAAAAATGGCAAAAATGGGTCGAATCGCTGGTGAACGCTTGCTATGTAATAATGCAGATGGGAGGTGGTATCTTAGGTCAAAAATTGGGGTATGACACCTTTTATTACCAATGTCCTAACGCACGCTCTTCAACCGCTGGGGCGGTGATACATCCATTAACTTATATCAAACAATAAATATATAATATAAGGTTTTTGTTTGAACCGGAGAGGCGCCGGAGCCCTAGCTCCGGTCGTCTTCTCCGGTTGCCTTCGTTTGCCAAACCTGCAAAATAACCAAAATTAGCAATCCAAAGGGACCCTACCCCCTAAATTGAGGGTTACGAATCTAATGAAATAATTATCTTGGCCTAAATCATACGGGATTTTGAGTTATGGTAAAAAATGCATGGATCGGTACAAAGTCGGTGATTCACGATTCTGATTGCATGGGACCTCCACGATTGTTCTATCCTGCACTATCAAACCTAATGAACACATTAGTGACATTAGTAGATATTAAAGCAAACAAAAAATCAAGATACAAATTTTGTGAGAGTATGGAATCGGAGATGCCATGCAATGGTATTTTTATGTGTTTTAGACCATAAAACTTGATCCAATCTTACCTTATATAACTGCTGTGATTAAATGGAGTGGTTATTTATAGTGAAATGGCTTATGATAAGGGTTTCAAGTTTTTAGGGTTCTTGAAATTTTTGATCTTTTTTGACAAGTTTTATCAGGCAAGGTATTTTTTCGTGTAAGGTTTGTATGAATGAAGAAGAATATATAGAGAGGAATTAGGTCAGACCAAGGATGGGCTTGGACCTTTGTAAGAAGATATGATTTTACCATATTTTATTGACTTTAAATTAATAAAAAAAAAAAAAAAAAACAAGGAGTGTATGAATATGTTCTAAGGTGTATAGGGGGCATATAGCATGTTTGGACTTTAAAACAATGGTCCATTGACCCAAAACTCAAGTTTGCTCAATTTGAACTTTATGCATTTGCTAAAATTTCCCAAATTGCACTGGTCATAACTCTCTCAACTTTCATATTTTGATGATGATCTTTTACTTTTTGGAAATCCCAAGGTGTCCTCTACAATCCCTATGTCGATCATTTTTGCATTTGAAGATTTATCTTGATGTAATTTTCCTTGACAAAAAGTGTCTTTTTGTTGACTTTTGAAATGACCTTTAATTTATTGGCTCATATCTTTAAAATGAAGCATTTTTTGGACTTGAGCTTAAATATTCAAAGTTGTAGAGAATTTAATTTAATTAAAAATGAGCCTTGGTTGGGGAAAAACTAATGAAGCATGTGAAAGTTATGCTCGGTCAAAGTTCAGTTAACTTCTCTTAAAGAAACCCTAATTTGGCAAACTTTTGACTTTTGATGATTTGAGAGTTTTCCTTGATGAATCGTGATCAACCCTTGATAAAATTATTAATATTACTTCAAAATATTGATGTTGACCAAAAATCTTGAAGTTTGACTGTATGTTGACCATAATTGACTTTTTATCCAATATAGTTGATTTTCAATCATCTGAACCATTGACTGAGACAACTTGTGATGTAAGGTTTCAAACTTGATACAAGTATTCTTAGAGATATATAAGGAACCATGGAAACCAATTGAGGTCATAGAAATCCAAACTTTCTTGTGAAAAGTGAAACCCTAGTTGTGGATCCATTGCTTAGAGGGAGAATTTGTCCGATCAATTCTTGAGCAACCTTGAGAATTTGGGAACCCTAGAAGGATGTATTGAATAAAAATGAGAGGTAAAATTTTTGGGTACAACAGCTTCCCCTGTTCGATGTTCTTAAACCTTAAGAGTTAGATTGGCATGTTCGCCATTCGTGATCTGAAGGTAGAAGATGATTGAACATTTAAGTGCCTAGAAATTTGCACTCGACTGTGAAAAAGGTAACGCTTTTGATTGATTGTATTGCTTGAATGGGATTAAAGATGTCATTCAGAGAGATGATGGAATGTCGTCAGAGATGGGCTTATGGATGCCATCTGAAGTATTCATTGATAGAAGTATCAGAATGAGTCTATGCTTGACTGTATCTGAAGAATACTTTCCAGAATGAGTCTCTGGGGAAGGTGCTTGAGTAGATGCTCGTTAGATTTAGTCTCTGAGGGAGATGTTTGTCATGTAGATAATAACCCCTTCTTGTTTCGGGAATTGATCTACAGTCTATTTTTGTTGGTAAATCCGTCCTGTTTCGAGAATTCATACCACCTGGTGATAATGATAGTCGCCACATCCTATTTTAGGAATTGATATTTACCTGGTCTTATAGATAAAAATATAGTTTCCCCGTCTTGTTTTGGGACTTAATCTTTGCTTGGTCATATAGATAGTTTCCTCGTCCTATTTTGGGAGTTAATCTAGGACCTACTTTTTATCGGCTGTATAGATAGTTGTCCCATCTTGTTTCAGGAACTAATCGTTAACTTGTTTTTTGTTGGTAAACGGGTCCTATTTCGAGAATTCATATCGCCTGGTCGTATATATAGTTGCCCGTCTTGTTTCGGGAATTAATCTTCGACCTGTTTGAAAATTGCTGATGATATTCGCCTGTTTGCAGACTTTACCTAAAAATACGAAAGTTAGTTTTATGCAACGTCATGATGTATGTATTGCGTAATGTTCTCAAAGTAAATGAGAGTGTTATATGCGTTTCGTATGCATATGCTATGATATTTTGTAAATGGTGTATGTATGTAAGATGTCGTTGAAGCGTGTTGGTAGCTTTGTCTAACATCTTCAATTGGGAAAATGAATCCCTGATTGTTGCTGGGGATGGAGACAACAATTCTTCAATCTTGTTTAGAATGTTTCTGTTGGGAATGCCTGCTTTCGGTTAGAGGATACTCCGCTGGGGAATGTTGACTTCTGCTTGGGGAAAAGAGTTCAAGAAAAATGGTCATTCATCATTCTACTAGGGAATTTAATTCTTATATACCCTGACTAGGGAAAAAGAGATGGATAACCTTCCGAGGTGTTGTCTGATCGAGTTTCTGATATGGATGCTGACTCGTCTGGGGAGGATAAAGTTAAACAATATATGGTCCAGTTTCATATTTTGTAGCAATTCTCTAGGGATAGTTGTCTGGATTGTCCTTTATTAGAGAGAGGAATTTTGCCGTTGATTTGTAGTAGTCAGAGGAATAGACTTAAGCTAGGGAGACTGTATTTTATTGGGGAAATAAACCCTGCTGGGGAAATAAACCCTGCTGGAGAAAGAAACCCTGCTGGAGAAATACTCTGTTTAGGAAATGAGCCCTAGTAGAGAAGATAATTATGTAGGGGATTTTGTAGTTGGAGAAGTAAACTCAGTTGGGGAAGAGAATTCATGTGAATTGCGCTGATGACATAATCTTTAATGAGGATCAGGACTCTGTAGGTTGGTGACATTATCGGGGAAAAGATCATACTACTTTATATACTAGGGGGATCTATTTGGGAGTACAATTAGGTTGATTGCTGGAAGATTCCCCAATTCCTGTCTTGAAAGCATATTGGAATTACGGGGAATGTACCTTTGTTGGGAATGAGCTTGCGAAGATAGCCCTTTCGGGATTTCTCGGTGG